AGGATTTGGGGGTTGAGGTCCTTTTGCTTTGAAAATACCGCTGTACTGTTTCGGGAGGCCCCAAATCTTCATTTTCCTCCTGAGGCTGCCTTTTATTTGCTTGCCACGCGTTCCTGTACATTATTTTTACAATTACAGTGCACTTTACGTTTCTCTCAAATTGTCCAGAACATTGATATGTGCGCTTACAATTTGTTTTATCATTTTTATATTTCGTGTTCCTGCTCAAGTTTCCCATCCCTGTTTGGGACATTCTTCGAAAATACCATCTTTCGCAAAGCGGGCAGCTTAAACATGAGGATCATAATAACTGAGGAGAACCCTGACATCGCAAGATCCTTACACTTCCTGCCGGGCGTCTTGCAAACGGAAACTCTTGATGGCAGCAAACACAGGCCTGCTCAGCCTTCAAGACTGAACATCGCTACGGACCAGCACTGGAACCTAAAGGCAGTCCTGCAGAAACGAAATTAAAGAACACTTTCCTTCAGACGATTAGGAACCCAATGTCCACCCTGTATGAACATGCACGGTTGCTCACATGCCGCTCTATCCTCATGTGGGGGGGGGGGACCTGAGTAGTTTAAGGTTTAAGGATCTAGCTCTAGACCTCAACCACTCACATCAGAGCATGGACTCCAAACATCAGAGCATCACCACAAAATCGCGCACCACAAACCCTAACCCAGGCAGCCCAATATCCTGTAATCAAGGAATACTTAAAAATTTTACTAGGGATCTGGGTGTCGTGCGGGGGCTGTTTCTTTAGTCCCTGGCCCCGACAAATGCATCCCCAACCCCTCCGAATAGATGTCCTCAATGTAGCTCCGTTTCATCTAGGTGCGCGCGAGAGTTATTATTAGGGGCACGGCATTGTCAGAGCAGACCTAAACCACCTAAACCCTACAACACCTAAGCCCTTAACCCTAGATCGCATGTATGGGCCCTGGCCCTCTGGGTACCGAGTCTCCAGCCCCTGCACAGGCCTTGGCGACGGTGGGCAGGATCGTCTCGGCAACTGCTTTTGACCTGGGGGCTATGCCGGGTTTAGGGATTAGGGTTAAGGGGCTTAGGGTTTAGGAGTTTAGGGTTTAGGGGTTCAGGGTTTAGGGTCTAGGGTTGAGGGATTTAGTTTAGGGACTAGGGGTTGATGGTGCTAGGGGTTTAGAGGTTTAGGGTTTGGGGTTTCGCGTTGTGAAGGGTTTAGGGTTTACGGTTTAGGGGTTTGAGGCAGGGGTTTAAGGCTTAGGGACTAATCCCCTTCCATGATATGTCTCTGAGTTACCTGAAACAATGAACTCTACACCCCTAAACTTCAGTAGACTTTAAACACCTAATAGCCTGAATCCGTGTACTTCTTAAACCGGAACCATTTCTTCAGCCCTTCCACTTCCTCTCTGGATCCATCGCGCCCCATAGGTGCTGGGTTGCAAACCACAGGCTTCAAACTGGGACTTTGGGGTTCGGGGCGTCGACTAAGAGAACGTGAACAAGCATGTCACTATCTTTACAGGTATTGCTCGACTTACTGTTGGTTGGGTACTCTGTTTGGGGTTTACGGCTCGGTGCGTCAAGTTTAGAAATTAATGGCTTTTGCGATCAAGAAAGATGAGGGTTCCCAAAACCTGCGCTACTCACTCTCCAGGCCTTTCCTGGCGTTTTCACGACATCCAGCCCAATTCCTCTAGACCTTGCATGGTGAACCTTAGGAGTTTCTGAGTGGAACCACATCAAGATGTTGAGCGTTTTTGTTGGGGCCCTACTGGTGTGTTGAGCTTCTTTGTCCTGCATTCAAGAACTGCTACACGGGCAGAGGTTTGAAGCCACGCAGTTCAAGGTTTAGGGCTTAGGGTTTCGGGTCTGCAACCTGAGCAACAAGATGCTGTAAAGGCCTATTGTAAGGATCCCTAGACAGAAGCCCCCCTTGTTTTTGGAAGCCCAGGGCCCACTTTAACAATCCCAAGAAAAAAGGAAAACGTTTACCCTCAACCTGACACCCTAGACCCAAGAAAGCCGTTCTTCCCTAAACATTCACACTCCAAAAGCCCGAGGTCTGGGAGACGGGCTTGGCACATGCCTCTGCGAGCTTCACAAGCTGCCTGAAGGATCAGCCCAAGGGTACTGGGGGGCTAGGGGTTAAGGGTTGGGTTTAAGGCTTAAGGTTGGAGGGTCAGGAGGACTTAGTAAGTGCCCTATATAACCCTAAACCATCCTAAACGGGAGAGTGCAAGGCTCACCCTCGACCAATGGTTGTAAAACCCCTGCCGCTTCAGGGTGCAACGGAAATTGGGAGGTTTAGTCATTGCCACGGTAGGCCCATAC